GAGAGAGAGAGAGAGCAGGGGAGGGGCACAGAGAGAGGGCAACACAGAAGCCGAAACAGGCTCCAGGCTCTGGAGCCAGACTCAGGGCTCAAACCCACGAACCATGAGATCATGACCCGAGCTGAAGTCGGATGCTTAACCCACTGAGCCACCCAGGTGCCCCTGTAGCTGCAAATTTTCAAATAATTTAGCTTTCATGTCGTTCTCCTTTTGTGTCTGAAATATTAAATGTGGCCGCTTTCTCTCCTTATGGCACAGGCATAAATGCACGCAGGGTTTCTCTGTGGATGTAGGTCCCTTTATGTTGACGGCTAGAGGTGGAGAGACACCACTGTTGGGTTGATGCAGTAGAGGTGTTTTTTATTTTACAATGAGCAGAGCTCACTTATGAAATTTGTGCTCAGGATTTCAGAATTTGTATGTGTGCTAGGATCCCTTGTTTTTCAAAATCGTGGAATATTTTGACAGAAACTGCTGGGAATCCACCAAATCCTTCTCCCCTTCCATGCTAAGAAAGCTGTGGCTGGGCACATCCTCTCTCCCCACTAGGCAGGGACTCCATTTCCCAGCCTGCTGTGCAGCTGGCTGTGGTCATGTGACTCGGCTCTTGGCCAGGAAAGATCAGGGGAGTGTGATGTGTCTTATGCCATTGTTCCTCTCCTCAGGAGGCAAACCCGAACCTGGCTTCGGCCAAAACCCACCACAAAGATAAGGACAGTGCCCTGGAGGGTTAGTGGGAAACTGGATCCAAGGAACCTGATAACTGAGCAACCCCACAAGCGGAGGTCTCACCTAGCTGCCCGGGACCAAGGGAAGCAAGGTTATTGTCTTAAAGCCATTTTCCTTTCTCCTTCCTGCCTCCCTGTGGTCCTAACTATGCTACTCTGCTCTCTGCAGACCTCAGAACCGCCCTCAGAACAGCCGCATGTGCACCTTAGGATGCTTTCCCAGGCATGGGAATGGGGGTGCATCCCCCCCCTCCCCCCATCCAGCCCATTCCACTAGCAGTGCTGGGAGGCCAACTCACCGCCCAGGGAGAGCTTCCAGTAGAATGAAATGGTGCAGTGCCGGCCACTGAGAAATTTGCCCTTTGAAGTCAAACCCATGTTCCGGGCCTCGCTGCGTGCTGTGTTCTTGTCAGCTGAGCCCTGAAATCTTAGGATTTGGACTGAAGAGCCAGTCTCCAAAACAAATTTCTACGCTTGCCCCCAAAGAACAAATCTTCGCCATAAAACAAGTTGGCAATACAACCGTGATCATTATGGCCACCGTTCATTCAGCCTCTACCTTGGACCGGGCCCTGAGCTAGATCCTTTATACACATTATTTCACTTCTTCTTCACGGAGGCCCCCTGGCTGGAGTAGTTCTGCCATTTAGGAGATGAGGAAGCTGAGGTGCAAAAATGCTCCATGGCTTACCCAGAATCCCACGGAGAGCAAGGTGGCCCTGGGGTCTGGACTGTCCCATCCCAGAGCACGCGCCCTCCGCACGCCACTGCCCGTGCGTTTCCATAACAGCAAATGCCTGGTCTCTGGGCATTCCCCAAACTTTGAGGGTCCGAGCCACACTGCTTTGTGGCACAGCCCGTACCTTATCTATCACTCTCAGCTGAAGCAAGCAGAGCCATGTAGGAAATACTTAACATGGTGGGGGTTTTAGTCCAAAAAAAACCATGTGCTGTAAATGATGTTGGGGAAAACGTTCCCAGGGCTCAGTGCAGCAACGTGGGAATTGATCTAGATTTTTCTTGCTCAGCTTGGCTATCAGAACGTCCTAGCGAAACTTTGCTTTTATTTCGCCCCAGCCACAGGGATCAAGATTCAAGACAAGAAGGCACTGGATTTTTAGGGGTAGTCAGTATTAGTTTGACAGTCTGAGGCTAGGCTCTCCCCTGGAGCTTCTGAGATAGTTGTTACCACAGTCACTGCCCAGGCCCCACAGAAAAAAAGTCAGGTGCCCCAGGGCTAAAGAGAAGATATAAACCAAAAGCCAACAGAGGGCTTGACGGCAAGCCTCAGGGAAAGATGTAAGAACTTGGTAGTTTTGCACTATTTTAGGAAAGCGAAGTTCATTAAAGGCTCATTGAAGTGGGGGAGAATTCTGAAGGTGGCAGGCTGAAGTCAGAGGTGAAGACTAATTAGCTGGAGTTACTTAGTGGGGCCATGAATGATTTTTAGTTGGGAGCTCCAGTTGTGACCCCCCCCCCATTGTTTAAATAGTCTCCCCATTGTCATCTTATCGCGTTAATATCCTGTAGTCATTTGCGCTTGGTTAGCAATTTCAAGGTTCTAGATTTCCTGAAGTTGTCCTAGGAGGTGTAGACACCAGATTTGTGGCTTACTATTGATGGCCCTGGTGCTAATTTTGGTAAGGACATAGTCTTATACACCGAAAGAGCAGTAATACTTTATTTAAAATATATACAAAATTATTATTTTAAAACATATATATTACTGTCCAGCATACGTCATATAACACTGAGTGATATAAATTTCGATACCTTCATTCATTCAGTGTGTGATTTCTCTTTTGCTCCTCAAGAACATTCTCTTAAATGCCCCCCAGAGGGGAGGTGCCCAGTGGCCTGTTACCCTGGCTGGTCTGGCTGTATTTTTGGACACCACGGAGGCCATGCTAGTTGCCTCGTGGGAACTGAAGGCAAACCGTGGCCTTACTGGGTGCACTAGGGACACAGAATCGATGGGACCCACCTCAATCAGTCACACGCCGATTGCCAGACTTCAGTCTCTACGTCTCTCTGTCTCGTCTGAATACAAAAGGATGGGGAGTGGGTGGGAAAGAAGTGGTATTTTCTTCACAGACCTTCCTCTAGACTTAGATTAATGTAAATGATGTTCTCTTTCTTTGCCTCTGTCACCAGTACCGCAGGAAGAGAGCATTAGTTGGCCTCTTAACACAATCTTGGAAAGGAAATAAGAAAAGAGACACAAAGAGAGCTTCTGTGCTGTTAGGCCAAGTTGGGAGTCACCATCATCCTAAAATAAATTGGACAGCTGCTTCTGCTCATAGCCCATGCCATATTCATCACTAACCCCCCCCCCCCAACAGTGCCTTGCATCCAGTAGGCACTTAATAAATGCAGGGGATCTGGTGACTCCGAGTAGAAAACATATACATTTCAAATCTGAGAGAGGGGCACTGGAGATCATCTAGACTTCCTTCCTCACTTGGCAAATGGGGACACCGAGACCCAGAGAAGCGAGGTAAAATGAACACGCTCGCGTGACTGGTTCCCTGCAGAGTTGGACTCGGAATCAGATTTTCTGAATCTCTCCTTAAACTTCCCGTTCTCTTCGGATCTGAAACTCTGAGGAGACCTCGGTGGAGTCAGCGGCCTGCCTGAACTTGAAAATCATCCGCCAACATCGGAAGCTCCTGGTAGCGATGGGTGGCCCTGTGCACGGCGGCCAAGTGTGCAGCACAAGCAGAAAGGCCCCCCTCCAGGCAGCTTTGGTCGTGGGCTCCCAGGCCCGCCTGGGGTGGGAAGCCCCAGGTTGGGGTGGGTGGCCCAGACTGCAGCAGTCGGAGGACTGGCGGCTTTGAGTGAGGTAGGAGGAGAGCTCAACGGGGAACTGGGTCTGTGTGTCTGATGCCCCCTGCCGGCAGCCCCAGCGCTGAAGTCCATGTAGCAGCTCACAAAACCTGCAGCCTCAGGGAGTTGAGAGGAAACATGTAAACAAAGCCTACTGCCCGCTTCTGAAACTGAAAGCAAGTCACTACAGACACTTGCTGAAAAGATGAATTACAGGAGGAGTGGTTTTCTTTCTTTCTTTTCTTTTTTTTTTTTTTTCCC